ATATATAGAGAGAGAGAGAGAGAGAGAAGGGATCATATGAGAATGATATATAGTGAAAGAAATGAGAATGATTGTACACCATTGGATCCAACATTTCAATGGTTACAATGAAGTCAAATTAAGGTCAATCATTAATGGCAATCTGGTAATTATTTGATCATAGTGTGATCAATATGTGCATTTGACCAATAATTAAGGATATATTAGTCAATACACTTTTCTTATGTGGGACCCACTCACTATTTAAATATTCATTTTATTGTTATCTTCCTCCTCCTCAATTGACAATTCACGACCAAAAAAAAACACACACACACACACTGAGCAGGCTTCCGCCGCCTGACCGCCACCCGGCCAGCCACCAGTTCGCCTCTCACCACCACCCGATATCTTAGAAGACCGCTGCTTCCAATTCCACTGACGCCATCAATGAACCGCTGGAACCACAAACAATCCCAACTAACTCCCTTGCCCCGTCTCCAATCTGCCATGGTAGCTCCTCCGCCTCCGTCGCAATTGCTTCCTCCACCCTCATTGAACCCGCCGGGACTGCATCCAGTAAAAACCAACACCTCTGCCCCATCCACCATCTCCTCCGGTTGTCCGTCGCCCACATACCCGCCTCTGCCACATATTTCACACTCCGTCGCGCACGTCCTCCTTAGCTATGACCACTGCTATTTTGGTCGGATGAACACTCGCGATTTGGCCGGATGTAGCATCTGTAAATCATGTGTTTATTTGAGATTTGGGATTGTTTTTGTGAGAATTTGATGTATTATTGGGGCTAATTGTAATTTTTGAAATGTTGTTATATTTTCAATTGAGTAAAATTAGGCAAACTTGTAATATAATAAATTTTTGCTACATAACAATAATATATAAAATGCATTATATTAATTTTTTATATTTCAATAGAAAATCATAGTTTAATATTTTTATACAAAAATATGATATATAATATTTTTTATTATAGTTTGGTTTCTATTTTAGTTATTTAAATAAAAAAATTTATATCGTACCGAAATAATTGACTTATAAAAATATACTAGTAATAATCGAAAAATATATAAAATTTCATACCGAACTTATATTCCTTAGATCTCGTTCGATTTTGTGCAATATAGTAAACGTTTATGTGCAATTAGTATAACCATGATGTGCACTCGCCATACATACAAAAAATGCATATAAAAAATATTATTATTTTCTTATTAAAAAAATATAATTAAAAAAGAATTGGTAATATTATTTTCATATAGTTTGGAAATGCTTAATTGTTGCATTTATTTAAAGAATACTAAATTCAAGATTTAATCAACTAATATTATTCGATCGATTATCAAAATTTATCAAAATTACGAAATTATTTGGTATGCGTAGCGTGTTGCTTTATAAGATGTAACATATCATATTATAAAGTGCAACGTATTTATGTATAAATTGAAATGCACTGATATATAAAGTGCTATTATGTAGATTCGCATTTTAGATTTACATCAGATAATTTTTTTGCACGGGAGATGTTGACATTAATTGCAAAATGCGTTTGTAAAGTGCAACGTGTCGGCTTATAAAGTGCAACGTGATGTTTTATAAAGTGCAATATTTTGATGTATAACGTGAACTACTGTTATTTTGGTACGTTAGACATGTTTGTGGTTCATGTGGATAAATGATACGATTAATGTTAAAATATTATGTATAACAATTTTTTTTTTTGGATTTATGGTGCGTGGTAGTTTGCACGGAAGCTTTATTGTGGAGTGTGGTAATAAAGTGCAATACACTATTTCATAAAATGCGGCGTATTGTTTTATCAAGTGCAACTTACTGATATATAAAATGCACTACCTTATATAATCCCATATAAATTATGTGTTTTGAAAATTAAATTTAGTAAATATAATTGTACATCAAATTAACCTAAATACTTGAAATACTTTATTATCTATTATTATAAAGGTATATTTATTATTTTAATATTTATTTGTATATTAAAATTTTACACATTAAAATTTTTAAACATTGTACACTTTATTTACCATTAATATGAATTTATGTTAATATTACTATAATTTACATGTTTGGTCATGAACTAAATTTAAACATACTCAAAATTAATAAAATTGCAACATTGTACATCAACACTATATGTTTCTTAAAATTAAAAAATAAAAACAAATGAAACCTCAAAATCTTAATTTGAATTTGCAAAATTAGTAAACATTATTAAAGTTTCTACAAATTACAAATTTGACCTAGGGAATAAATTGAAATTTAGTCAAAGTTTATGAATTTCTTATCAAATCCCTATGCACTATCTAATTCTCAAAATTATGCCCTAGAAATATATGTTTCTCAAGTTGCTGAAAATCAAGCATTGCTTCTTCTCCAACCCTTGCTATCAGATCGTTGGTGGTTGTTATTGCTTTTCCGGCATCAGGGCGGGCTGACGTGGCTGTAGGAAAGGCGGAGACGTCCTCGGCGCTTCATCCTCGTCAAACAGTGACGGGCAGAGCGACTGTCGCGACAGCGAGATCGAGCGGTGGCTGTAGGCGTGGCTGAGTCTTGCGTCGGTGTGAAGTTTCGGTCGGAGGCGAATGATGGTGGCTTATTACTGTGCGCGGCGACTCTCCAGCGGGACGATGACGGCGGCTCTCCAACGGGACGATGGCGGCGCTCTCCAACAGGACGATGGCAGCGCTCTCCGACGGGACGGTGATGGCAGTTGCGGCGGCGCTCCGTTAGTGGCCGGTGGTTGGCGTGCGCCCCGTCGTTGTTTCTGTATGTACCCCTGTGAAGTGTGTGTGTGTGTGTGTGTGTGTGTGTGAGAGAGAGAGAGAGAGAGAGAGAGAGAGAGAGAGAGAGAGAGAGAAAAGGGAGGTAGGTGATAGGTGGGTCTGGGGAAGGTGAAATTGGGAAGGTAAAATTGTTTAATTAAGGTGGGGCCCACTAATTATTATGGTGGATATTAATTTCTTTTGTGATCAAATGTCCTTATTACCCTTAATAAACATATAATTTTGACTTTTTTTTAGCCATAAGATCATCTGATTTAATTGCTAGGATTTATTCTCATTTCCTTCATTGAGAATCATTCTCATGTGAACCCAACCCTGTGTATATATATATATATATATATATATATATATATATATTAAAAGTCAACCTATTTACCAAAAACAGTAGCAAGAAAAGTCAACACACATTTAATGCATACTTTATTTGGAAATTTTTTACTATATGAATTAAATGCTTGAATATTTACATTTACTATCCAAATATGATCTTAAAATTTTTTTCCTTTCATAATTTATGCAATGATTTTACTGATATCCATTATAATTAATATTTGTTTATTATTTTTTAACCTTTATTTAATTATATAACACTAATATTTTTTTTGAAAATTAACATTATTTATTATTTAAAAGATAATGATCACATCATTAAATGATTTTATTGACGGTTAGATAATAAAATTATATTAGTTATTCTTTAAAAATTTCGACATGTTATTTATTTGTATATTATTGTCAACTATGATAGTGTTTTTATCACTTTTTTTTTGTTATGTTTCAAAAATAAACTTATTGTAAAATATTTTTTTATTGCATAGTATGTTAAATAAACTATAAAGCCTTAGGATGAAAATTAGAAAAAATCTCTTGATTATGTAAGGGATTTATTTTTTGGCAATTGCTAAATCATTTTTTTTTTAAAAAAAAAGAATTATTATGAGAAAATTGGATTCTAAAAAACATGTGTGTGTATTTTGTAAACATTTATACTCAGAATTTTATTTTGAATTTTATTACATAAATAAGACTACTTCTATAACTTTTATAAATAATGATAATTACATTATATGACTGTAAATTTTATAATAAAATAAATTGTTGAGTATTATATGGTGAACAATAATTAATAAAATTCTTATTTTTTCTTATCAATGAATAAATATATTTGTCTAAAATCAAATAAATATTAGTATGACGTGTTAGAGGAATTATATATTAATTAACATGTTAATTTTTTGCCTTAAATAAACGCCACTTATTAAAAGATGTGAAATATGGATGATCTAAGCCTATTGTTTTTTTTGTCTAGACGTACAAGTCCTACAGAAATAATTGATTTATTATATGTATCACGTGCATCGCACGGGGTATGCACTAGTTTTTAAATTACAGGGGGATAACGCACAGATTTAGGATAATACAGGGGGATTTGGTGTAATTTTCCCTTAAAAAAAACAAAAAAAAAGTAGTAATATAGATGAAAATTTGGGGAAATGCTACGGTCCTGTCACGGATCCTGTCGGGGTTTGTAATCGTTAGATCAATTATCCCTGATTGTTACATGATGATTTAACGGTTACAAACCCCAACGAAATGATTCCATAACGTAACCATTTTCCAAAAATTGAAGTTGAGAATACATATAGGCTATGTTTGGTAAAACTAGCTGATAAGCTAGCTTATAGCTGAAAAGCTAGCTTACATGATAAAAGATGTTTGGTAAATTAGCTGATAAGCTAGCTGAAATAAAAAATTCAACTAGCTTATTTGAAAAGCTACCTAAAGTAGCTTATGAAATAAGCTCGAGCTTTTTAAAAAAATCCATCCTACCAAACGAGACTTATTTTAATACAGGGAGCTTATAAGCTAACCAAATAAGCTATAAGCTAACTTATTTGGCTTACCAAACATACTCATAATCTCCACATAACACGCTCACGTACATGACTCAAATGATATGATATCATGAGTCCAAATCTTCAATCTCTATCCCCAATAATCTCTTTCAGTTCAGACTATCTATCCAACCATTGTTAAAAATTAAATCAAATATACAAACCAATCACCCAAAATAATAAATAAATTTGTCCCCCATATTTATCTGGGCCACCTCTTCTCCTCAAACCACGGCTTTCATTCCCCCACACAAAACAAAAGAGAAAATAAAAAATCCCAAATTGGAATCTCCAACCAACAATGGGACTAAGAGCTCTCTTCAAGCGCAACAAGAAGAAACAGAGACAGGCGAGATCCCTTGAGGAGGAATCGGAATTGGAGCAGGTCGTCAATAACAAATTCGATGTCAATGGCGACGGGAAAATCTCGGAATTGGAGCAGGTGTTCAATAAATTCGATGTGAACGGCGACGGGAAGATCTCTGCGGCAGAATTGGGGTCGATTATGGGGAGTCTCGGCCACGCGGCGAGCGAGGAGGATCTGGCGTTCATGATCCGCGAGGTCGACGCCGACGGCGACGGATTTATCGACCTCCAAGAGTTTATCGAGCTCAACACGGAAGGCGTTGGGTTGGAGGAGCTGCTCCAGAATCTCAAGGACGCTTTCCAGGTATTTGATATCGATCGCAACGGCTCAATCTCCGCGGAAGAGCTGCAGAAAGTGCTCGGCAGCCTCGGGGAGGAGTGTAGCATCGACGACTGCCGGAAGATGATCAGCGGCGTTGATGTCGACGGCAACGGGACCATTAGCTTTGACGAGTTCAAGGTAATGATGATGAAGGGATCGCGGTTCGACGCTGCCGATTAAATTTATTTTGTTTGTTTGGGGGCTTTTTTTTTCCTTCTTTTTATTTTTTTAATTTCGAAATTGACACAGGTGATCTGCATAAGTAACATTCTGTTTTGGGATTATTTTAATTTGATTTGTTTTTTCATTCCTCCCCTTCCAACGTTAATTAGAAATTAATTGTCTCCTTTTTTTTTTTTTTTTTTTT